GGGTTTTGGTGAGTCTTCTAGAATTTGGGGGTGTTGTAGGTTCTTAAATTTAAGACAGAGAATGAATGGTGAAATACCCATCCACAAATACATATTATTTCACCATACACAAGTAGTGAACTCAGGCAGTCGTGGTGGCTCACGCCTGTAATCCTAGCACTCTGGGAGAAGGATCGCTCATGTTCAGGAGTTCGAAACGAGCCCCGTCTCTACTAAAAAAGAAAGAAATTAATTGGCCAACTAAAAAATATAGAAAAAATGAGCCGGCATGGTGGCCATGCTGTAGCCCCAGCGACTCGGGAGGCTGAGGCAGCAGGATTGCTTGGCCAGGAGTTGGAGGTGCTGTGAGCTAGGCTGACGCCACTGCACTCTAGTGCGGGCAACAGAGTGAGACTGTCTCAAAAAAAAAAAAAAAAAAAAAAAAAAGTAGTGAACTCTAAGGATCATTGTAGACGTACAGGGGTCTTTGGGAGCAGATAGGAGAAAATGCACAACTCTGCTTGAGTGTCTGTGTGGATGTGGAGAGGAAAGTTTCAGAGGAGTAACATTTTGGTATGGAACAATATGATGATATATTGAAAAATTGAGAAGGCAAGGGCCAGGCGTGGTGGCTCACGCCTGTAATCCTAGCACTCTGGCAGGCCAAGGCGGGAGGATCGCTCAAGTCAGGAGTTTGAAACCAGCCTGAGCAAGAGCGAGACCCATTTCTACTATAAATAGAAAGAAATTAATTGTCAACTAAAAAATATATATAGAAATTATCCGGGCATGGTGGCGCATGCCTGTAGTCCCGCTACTCGGGAGCTGAGGCGAAGATTGCTTGATCCCAGGAGATTGAGGTTGCTGTGAGCTAGGCTTGACGCCACGGCACTCACTCTAGCCGGGCACGGAGTGAGACTCTGTATCAAAAAAAAAAAAGATATGCACACAGAGGTTGAAGTACAAAGGAGAAAGGAAGAAAGATACCTACTAAGAAAAGACTTAAAAGACCTCATACTCTGCTGTTGACTTAGCTGTGACAGTTACTATCTGTTTTATCACTTTACTTTAAAATCTTTGACCTTCCCACTTTGGTATGAATTAAGTAGTCTTCAGGTTGTAGCTGCTGTGATTAGAGCACTTGTAGCTTATCTTGTACTTGCTAGGACAAGACCCTCTAGAGGCCCAGTTTTGGAGATTATTTTCCATGGTAGCAAGGTTACTTTGAAGGCTTTTTTTCATAATCATTTTTTTTGAGACAGAGTCTCACTTGTGTGCCCTGGGCTGGAGGAGTGCCGTGGCGTCAAGCCTAGCTCACAGCAACCTCAAACTCCTGGGCTCAAGCAATCCTTCTGTCTCAGCCTCCCAAGTAGCTGGGACTACAGGCATGTGCCACATGCCGGCTAATTTTTCTATATATTTTTAGTTGGCCAATTAATTTCTTTCTATTTTTAGTAGAGATGGGGTCTCACTCTTGCTCAGGCTGGTCACGAACTCCTGACCTTGAGTGATCCTCCAGCCTTGGCCTGCCAGAGTGCTAGGATTACAGGCGTGAGCCACCTCGCCCGGCCTCATAATGATTTTTTATGATCCTTTATTCTATTATAGGGAATTGACACTGAGAGGGCCCTTCTGCAAGTGGACAGCTATGTCTTTGCTGGGGAGTATGAAGGGTAGGAGGATATCAGATAGATGGAACTTTTTTTATATGTCTTTCAGAGAAAGTAGCTCTTATTTCTCAACAACTTGCTTTCAAACTTTTTTCTGCAGATACTCTTGGCACTTGTGTTATATTTGAAGAAAATGTTGAACATGGTAAGTGATTGCTAAGGTAGCCCAGCTCTTTTACTGTGAACTATTTCAACCATACTTACATATAATGAATATTAAAGTTAAACATGTTATGTACCCATTGTCTAGCTGTATCAAATCCTGCCATTTTGCCAAACTTGGACTCTCCTAGTTAAAAATATTCCCATACATTTGAATCACTATATATCCCTTTAACAAACTTATTCCTTCCTTTGTCTTCAGAGGTAATCACTTTCCTGGATTTGTGTTTATCTTTCCTATACCTGTTTTACATTACATATGTATGTATCACAAACAATAAATGCATTGTATTATATATTTTCAACGTTAACATAAATTACGACAGTTATAAATAATTCTTTCTTTTTTTTGAGACAGGGTTTCACTTTGTTGCCCGAGGCGTAGAGTGAGTGCTGCGTGGTGGTGTCACGCTAGCTCACAGCAACATCTCTTTAGTTGGCCAATTAATTTCTTTCTATTTATAGTAGAGATGGGGTCTTGCTCTTGCTCAGGCTGGTTTCGAACTCCTGATCTTGAGCAATCCTCCCACCTCGGCCTCCCAGAGTGTTAGGATTACAGGCGTGAGCCACCGCGCCCGGCCTATTTATTTACTTTTTTGAGACAGAGTCTTACTCTTGTTGCCAGGCTAGAGTGCCATGGTGTCAGCCTAGCTCACAGCAACCTCCAACTCCTGGGCTCAAGTGATCCTCCTGCCTCAGCTTCCCTAGTAGTTAGGACTACAGGCTACTACGAGCACTACCATGCCTGGCTAATTTTTTCTATTTTTAGTAGAGACAGGGGTCTGGCTCTTGCTCAGGCTGGTCTGGAACTCCTGACCTCAAGCGATCTCCCTCCTCGGCCTTCCAGAGTACTAGGTTACAGGTGTGAGCCACCATGCCCAGCCCTCCTTTATCTTTTTTCATTCAGAGATTTTTTTTTTTTCTTTTTTTGTTACAGGGTCTCACTGTGTAGCCTAGGCTGTGGTACAGTGACCTGATCATAGTTCACTGCAGCCTCAAACTCCTGGCCTCAAGCCATCCTCTCACCTCAGCCTCAAGAGCCCGAACCCAGCTGAAAGATGTGTTTTAACGTTTATATATGTTGATATATATATATATAACTCTATAGTTTACTTATTATCCCTGCTGGTTAACATTTCATCTTGTGACTATACCACAATTTATTCTTCTCTAGTTCATGAACATACTGGTTGCTTCCATTTTCTTTTTTTGTTTGTTTGTTTTCTTTATTTTTTTTCTACCCCTGCCTCCACCCCATTTCTTTTTTTTTTTTTTTCCGGTTTAAAGTTTTCCTCATAGTGCTATGGTTGCTTCCATTTTCACTAATTATTCCATTTTCAATAATTATTAAAAACTATTTATTGAGTTCTTTCTATATGTCAGACACTACTTTAAATGCTATGTGTATTAATTCATCTAATCCTCACCACAACCCTGTGGGGTAAATACCATTATTGTCTTCATTTTATAGTTGAAGACACTGAAGCACAGAGAGGTAAATAACATTCCCAAGGTCATACAGGGAGTGAGTGGCAGAGCCAGCATTTGAACCCTGGTGGTCTGGCACCAGAGCTCACATTCTTAATTCTGCTTATTACCTCACTACACAAATTCTACTACACATAATTCTTTTCTGTGTTTTCTTGTGCATGTATGTAAAAATGTCTCTAAGGTACACACTTAGAAACAGATAGGTGAGGGCCGACCAAGTGTGGTGGCTCATGCCTGTAATCCCAGTACTTTGGGAGGCCGAGGCCAGAGGATCACTGGAGCCTTGGAATTTGAGGTTGCAGTGAGAGCTATGATGATACCACTGTACTCCAGCCTGGGCAACAGAGCAAGACCCTCTCTCAAAAAGAAAAAGAAATAGATTGGTGAGTGTGTCTATCTTCAACTTTACTCTTAGGTTGAATCATATGAAATTACCAATCTGGCTGAATATCAGCAATTTCATATGATTCAACCCAACAGATAGCACCATGTTGCTCTCTATAGTGTCAGTTTACACTCACAGCAGCATAGCAATGTATGGAACTTTTCAGTGCTTCACATCCTTGATGTAGAGACCCATCCTCCCTCCTGCCTAGGCATAAAATTTTATAAAAACTGTAATTCCAGGCAGCAGGTTGGCAGCAGTTTTTTTTCCTCAGCCTTCCTTCATGATTGGGAGTGTCCCCATGCCAGCCTCTGGCTTCAAGTAGTAAGTCTGACTTTGGTCCTTCATTTTGAGTGGTAGAATTTTAGACCCCAATACCCTGTTGGGTCAAATTTCTGACCTCAGTTTCCCACTTCAAGGCTGGAGCATGTTAGGCCTACAGCTTTAATCTCATAACTCTTGTGTTTCTGTTCCCTGGGGATGTTTTTCATTTTTGAACCCAGTCATGCCTTTAAATGTTATATATTTTATCTATCATTTCTCTGTGCTTGGAGCAGGAGGGATGACTCATATCTTGAATTTACTATACTATCTTGACAGAAAATAGTTTTGTCTAACTCCCTAAACTGAAATTACTGAGGCTTAGCATCATTTCTTTTTTTTTTTTTTTTTTTTTGACAGAGTCTCGCTTTGTTGCCCAGGCTAGAGTGAGTGCCATGGCGTCAGCCTAGCTCACAGCCCTCAAACTCCTGGGCTCAAGGGATCCTCCTGCCTCAGCTCCCAAGTAGCTGGGAACTACAGGCATGTCCCACATGCCCGGCTAATTTTTTTATATATATTAGTTGGCCAATTAATTCTTTCTATTTATAGTAGAGACGGGGTCTCGCTCTTGCTCAGGCTGGTTTCGAACTCCTGACCTCGAGCAATCCGCCCGCCTCGGCCTCCCAGAGAGCTAGGATTACAGGCGTGAGCCACCGCGCCTGGCCTTGTTTCTTTTTTTTTAAAACCAGCATCTCACTCTTGTCACCCGGGCTAGAGTGTAGATGCAGCCTCACACTCTGGGCTCAAGTGATCCTCCTGCCTCAGCCTTCCGAGTAGCTGGGACTACAGTTTCATGCCACCATGCCCAGCTAACTTTTTAAAAATTTTTTGTAGAGTTGCGGTCTCATTCATATTTAGCCTGGTCTCAAACTCCTGGCCTCAAGCAATCTTCCTTCCTGCCTCAGGCTCCCAGCATGCTAGCATTACAGGTGTGAGCCACCGCACCTGGCCCCCATTGTTTCATTTGATGGCATCAAGCAGTAAAATAACTCAGTTTATTTTATGTTCTAGTGGATGCAGAAGGCAATAATAAAACAGTACTAAAATATAAATGCCATACAATGAAGAAGCTCAGCATGACAAGAACTCTTCTGACGGAAAAGAAGGAAGGAGAAGAAAACATAGGTTAGTTCACTTAATTCTCTGAAAATAAGTGGCCCAGTATTGACTTTGACAATGATACATTGCTGCCAGGGTATTCCTTGTATATTTGTAGTAATAACTATATGTAATATATTTATTTATTTATTTCTGAGACAGAGTCTCACTTTATTGCCCAGGCTAGAGTGAGTGCCATGGCGTCAGCCTAGCTCACAGCAACCTCAGTCTCCTGGGCTCAAGTGATCCTTCTGCCTCAGCCTCCCAAGTAGCTGGGACTACAGGCATGCGCCACCATGCCCGGCTAATTTATTTATTTTTTGTATATATATTTTTAGTTGGTCAGTTAATTTCTTTCTATTTTTAGTAGAGACAGGGTCTTACTCAGGCTGGTTTCGAACTCCTGACCTCAGCAATCTGTCCGCCTCAGCCTCCCAGAGTGCTAGGATTGTAGGCATGAGCCACCACGCCCGGCCTAATATGTTTAATATATTAAAATTGAGTATGCTCCATGAAAAGTATCAAACATAGATTTAAAAAATTCAGTTGAACTATGATATAGCCAAGGACACTGGGAACATATAAGAAATCTGTCTGCTTTGCATTGGAAACAACTGTGGGGAGCCTGCCAAGAAACTTGGTGTGATATCTAAGCTCAAGGGAATTCAGCAGTGCCCCCTCTCTTTCTTTCTCTCTCTAGCTCTCTCTTTAATAAAAACTTCCCTGTAAGTGGAATGGATATGATCTGCAGTCCCCAACCCCCGAGCCATGGGTCCACAGCCTGTTAGGAACGGGCCTCACATGACTGCCTGAGCTCTGCACCATGTCCCACCCCCGCATGACATCCTGCCCCCCACAGTGCATGGAAAAATTGTCTTCCATGAAAACATTCCCTGGTGCCAAAAAGGTTGGTGACCACTGGATGTGATGATAGCAGTTCTGACTTCCCAAGGTATAACCTCAGAAGATCCCCTGGAAACTTTTGTCAGCTGCTGCATCCTCCTCCTCAAGGAGGCTCACAGCTGGAACACTAGTCCTGAGTCTAGTGTTTTGTGTTTTTTTTTGGTGAGACAGGGTCTCTGTCGCCTGGGCTAGAGTATAGTGGTATCATCATAGCTCACAGCGACCTCACACTCCTAGGCTCAAGTGATGCTCCTGCCTCAGCTTCCTGAGTAGCTGGGACTATAGGCGTGTGCCGCCATGTCTGGCTAATTTTTCGTAGAGATGGAGTCTCTCTATGTTGCTCAGGCTGGTCTTGAACGCCTGACCACAAGCGATCCTCCTGCCTTGGCCTCCCGAAGTGCTTGGATTATAGGCTTGAGCCACCGTGGCTGGCCCTGAGTCTGGTTCTTAATTAGCACCCATTTAGTCTTCCCCAGTTGCTGATCACACAGACTGGAGACTTAGACTAGTGATTCTTGCATCTATAGTAGGCATATGTTTGTGGAGCTGAACAAATAATCACGTGATGTTTTAAAAATTCATTGCTTAATGACATACTTAAAACTCTAGTGAATCAGACTCTAGTGATGAGTGTTCATGGCTTAATAGATTAATTATATGTTAAGAAAGGAACAGCCACCAGCCTTTGCTTCTTGCCAGGCCCATTGCACTTGCGCGGCCTCTAGCCAAAGACCATCCAAGGCAAGAGGTAGCTGGGCTATCTTGGGTTCTGGCTATCTTGATGGCGGAGAGAGTTTGGTTTTTTTTATACATAAGCACTTGTTTCCTTAGTGCTAGCCCTAGGAAGCTTCCCAGGTATACAAAAACCTAAAGAGTACCTAGCTTCCTCTACTTGCCTCCGTCCTGCTTCTTGTAGAGGTGAAGTCATAGTAATGCTAAAGGAAAGCAAGAGAGTGTGGGGAAATTGGTGTTGGGTATCTCTGCAGGGAGATCACAGTCCATTCCAGATAGTGTTCCTTTTTTTTTTTTTTTTAAGAAGAGGAAAAGAAAAGGTGTGGTCAGCCAGAGAAAGGTCTGGATAAAACTCTTTTAGGGAAACACCAACATTATACGGCAGGCAGAGGAAGAGAAGCTACAAAAGGAACAGAAAAGGGATAGGAACTATTGGGTGGGACGGTACAGGACTGACAATAGGGGCCCAGGCAGGAGGCCCGGCATCTCAGGGCATAGGACAACATAGCCATGTCCTGAACATGGCAAATCGACCTTCTCTAAAGATCTTCAGCCAGCTCCTCCAGGAAGAATGCCTCTCTCCTTTCTTTCCCCTCTCACTGAGCTAGTACACTGATGATAGCATTGATCACAGTGTTGGAATATGCCTCCTGTCTCTGTTGTCAGACTCCATGAAAGTGCACAAAATCCTATTCATCTCAGCATACTAAGCCCAGCCCAATAAAAGATGGAATTGCTGGCCCAACATCTGGGTTGGTGGGGAAGGAATAAACATTTGAAAGTACACTGGGCCGGGTGCGGTGGCTCACGCCTGTAATCCTAGCACTCTGGGAGGCCGAGGCGGGCAGATTGCTCGAGGTCAGGAGTTAAAAACCAGCCTGAGTAAGAGCGAGACCCCATCTCTACTATAAATAGAGAGAAATTAATTGGCCAACTAATACATATAGAAAAAATTAGCCGGGCATGGCGGCGCATGCCTGTAGTCCCAACTATTCGGGAGGCTGAGGCAGAAGGATCGCTTGAGCCCAGGAGTTTGAGGTTGCTATGAGCTAGGCTGATGCCACGGCACTCACTCTAGCCTGGGCAACAAAGCGAGACTCTGTCTCATAAAAAAAGAAAACTTAAAGAAAAATACTTTTGGCCGGGTGCAGTGGCTCACACCTGTGATCCTAGCACTCTGGGAGGCTGACTCGGGAGGATTGCCTGAGCTCAGGAGTTTGAGACCAGCCTGAGCAAGAACAAGACCCCGTCTCTAGTAAAAATAGAAAAAATTAACAATGATCATGGGTTTCGATTGACAAAAAGAAAAAAATTACCTGGGTGTAGTGGCTTTTGCCTGTAGTCCCAGCTATTTGGGAGGCTGAGGCCAGAGGATAGCTCAAGCCCAGGAGTTTTAGGTTGCAGTGAGCTATGATGATGTCACTGCACTCTAGCTGGGGCGACAGAGTGGGACTCTGTCTGGAAAAAATATATATATTTTTAACTAAAATTCATTTTTCATGTTTCTTTCTTGATCTCTCTCCCCTCCCCCAAATTAGGTGGGGTGGAATGGCTGCAAATCAAGGATAATGACTTCTCCTATAGACCCAACATGATTTGTAGCTTTCTGCATGAAAATGAAGATGAAGAAGTGGTAGCTCCAGCCCCAGATAAACCTTTGCAGTTGGAAGAGCAAGAGATTCACATGAAAGACAGTTCAAACCTGAGTTATGAACAGGAGAAGCCACTGCACTTGGAAATAGAGGAATCTGGTCCTCTCATTGAAATCCCTTCTGAGACAGAAGGTTCTGTTTTTATGGAAACTCAAGATGCTGCCTTAGAAATCACTCCTAGAGGAAGTGTTTCTCATAATAACTAGTCATGAACTTTATAGAGTTTTTTTATAAAATAATTGGCTGTGTAGCTTTCATTTCACTGTGTTATTGTTTTTGTTGGCTAAACACACATTTTTCAGTTACAGCACAGTTTAATATACCAGAATCATTCAGGACCAGACATGAATTGAATTTTTTAAAATATGGTTTTTTGGTTTTTTTTTGAGACAGAGTTTCACTTTGTTACCCAGGCTAGAGTGAGTGCCGTGGCATTAGCCTAGCTCACAGCAACCTCGAACTCCTGGGCTCAAGCAATCCTACTGCCTCAGCTTCCCGAGTAGCTGGGGCTACAGGCATGCGCCACCATGCCCGGCTCATTTTTTATATATATATATCAGTTGGCCAATTAATTTCTTTCTATTTATAGTAGAGACGGGGTCTCGCTCTTGCTCAGGCTGGTTTCGAACTCCTGACCTTGAGCAATCTACCCGCCTCAGCCTCCCAGAGTGCTAGGATTACAGGCGTGAGCCACCAGGCCCGGTCTTAAAATATGGTTTTAAATTCAAGGTTTTACTAAGGCAAGCGTGTACATTTTCTATTGTATCTGTCACAAATTACCACAAACTCAGTGGTTTATTTTATTTTTTAATTTTTTTTTGAGACAGAGTCTCACTTTGTTGCCCAGGCTAGAGTGAGTGCTGTGGCGTCAGCCTAGCTCACAGCAACCTCAAACTCCTGAGCTCAAGTAATCCTTCTGCCTCAGCCTCCTAAATAGCTGGGACTACAGGCATGTGACACCTTGCCCAGCTAATTTTTTCTATACATATATAATAGTTGGCCAATTAATTTCTTTCTATTTATAGTAGAGACGGGGATCTCGTTCTTGGTCAGGGTGGTTTCGAACTTCTGACCTCGAGCAATCCTCCCGCCTTGGCCTCCCAGAGTGCTAGGATCACAGGTGTGAGCCACCGCGCCCAGTCAAACTCAGTGGTTTAAAACAACACAAACGTATTGTATTATAGTGTTGTTGGTCAGAAGTCTGACATGAGTCTCATCTGAGCTAAAATCAAGGTTTTGGCAGGACTGTATTCTTTTCTGGAGGCTCTAGAGGGGGCAAATTCATTTCCTTGCTTATTCAGTTATTGGCAGCATTCAGTTCCTTACAGTCGAATACACAGATACTCAGATAATCTCCTGATTTTAATGTCTGCAACCTTAATTCTGTCTGCAAAGTCCCTTTTGCCACTTAACATACACAGGCATAAGACCAGGGATTAGGGTATGGAAAAATCTTTGGAGTATCATTTTTTAGTCTACAATGAGTATTTTATCTAGGAATAGAAACAATTTTGAAGTGCTTAAGGATAAAGGTATAATTCCTAATCCATATCTAATTTCACTCCTTTCCCACCTGAGAAAGATAATTGGAATTCAATTGTAGTAGTCATTTTATTGTGACAGTTACCTAAATCTGTGCTGATAATTTGTATTTTTTTAAGTAAATTCACAAACTTTTATACTTTGTTATACATTGAGTTGCATTAAGAGATTTGATTGTTTCTGATTATAAAAATCAGCAATTTTATACAGTTTAATTTAGTAATATTAAGTTAAAACAAATCCCACATTAATTATATCTCACAATTGAAGGAGATATAATTTATCGGATTAGAGAACTAATGTTCTAGGATGAGGAATATTTTCTTCAAAAGTTGTGTAACTTTTCGCTATTTAGTTGGAAAAGAACTTGACAAAAAGCACTTTCAAATCATAAACACATATATCTTCCCAATTTTCATATGACTTTTTTTTAGTAAAAAGCTTTATTTTTCTGGCCAGGTATGGTGGCTCCTGCCAGTAATCCTAGCACTCTGGGAGGCCAAGGCGGGAGGATCACTCGGGGTCAGGAGTTTGAAACTAGCCTGAGCACAAGTGAGACCCCATCTCTACCAAATATTAAAAAAGAAATCATCCAGGCTTTGTGGCGGGCACCTGTAGTCCCAGCTACTTGGGAGGCTGAGGCAGAAAGATCACTTAGAGCCCAGTAGTTGAAGGTTGCAGTGAGCTACAGTGATGCTACTGCACTCTACCCAGGGTGACAGAGTGAGACTTTGTCTCAACAAGAACAACAACAAAAAAACACAAGGAAATTGAGCACCCCCTCCTCAGAATCCCCTACCGCTTCATATTTTAAAAAAAAAAAAAAGCTTATTTTTCCCACGTTATATATGTATAGGACAGACCACTAATTGTCTCACCCAGTATCTGTTCTCCCTTTTTTTCTTTGTAACAAATTCCCAAGATTTATTTAGGTTAGCAATGTGCCTAGCTTTCTTTGCAGATACATGTGGCCATGTGACTAAGTTCTGGCAATTGACATGGAATTAGAACTGCTGAGTGATGCTTCTCAGAAGTTTCATTAAACTTGAAGGCTTAAAGGGAAGTGGATTGGCTCATCTTCTTCCTCCTGGAACATGGATGTGGTAGCTGGAGCTCCAGCAGGGTTCTTGGACTTTAAAATAACCTTGGAAATAGAAGCCATGAATGACAGAGTGACAAGAATGAAGATTAGGTGCCAATACTGTGAGATTGCCCTGGACTGCTATGAGTAAAGGATTAACCAAAAAACCCCTTTCTCTTCTCTTTCTCTCTTGTGAGGTAATCCTGAGTTTCCCTTTCGGCAGTATTTCTCTGGAAACCTACTAGGCAAGATAATAATAGATTGTCAGCTGTGATACTAGACAGTATTGGTTATGGTTAAAAATGACCACAGGCTGCACACAGTGGCTCATACCTGTGATCCTAGCACTGGGATGCTGAGGTGGGAGGATCGTTTGAGTCCAAGAGTATGAGACCAGCGTGGGCAACATAAGGAGACTCCCATCTCTACAAAAAAATAGAAAAACTAGCTGGGCCTGGGTGTGTGTGCATAAGGTTCCAGGTATTCAGAAGGCTGAGGCTAGAGAATTGCTTGAGCCCAGGAGTTTGCGATTGCCTTGAGCTGTGATGTCACTGCACTTCAGCCTGGGCGACAGAGGCAGACTCTGTCCCAATTAAAAAAAAAAAAAAAAGGAATTTTGGAATTCGATAGTGGTGATGTTTGCACATCTTTGCTAATGCACCAAAACCCACTGAATTGTACATTTTAAAGGGGTGAATTTTATGGTATGTGAATTATATGGCACTTTAAAAGTTGGGGGAAAAACTACGATCAAGAGTATTATTTTCTGCGCATCTTTTATGTACTAGGGAACTGTGGTAGTCATAAACTCTGCCTCACTGATACAGTTCAGGCAACAGTGCCCATTTCACAGTAATATTTTTAGTGACTACGTGAATGCCAACCTTTCTAGCAACGTAAGGGATTCCCTGACGAATACCAGCTGGTCCCTGAATACCACGTATAAATGGAGGAGTGTACACCAAGGTGCGGGAGACTACATTACTTAGAGTGTTACCTCAGCCGGGCGCGGTGGCTCACGCCTGTAATCCTAGCACTCTGGGAGGCCGAGGCGCGGGGGGGGGGGGGGGGGGGGGGGGGGGGGGGGATCGCTCAAGGTCAGGAGTTCAAAACCACCCTGAGCAAGAATGAGACCCCCATCTCTACTATAAATATAGAAAGAAATTAATTGGCCATCTGATATATATAGAAAAAATTAGCCAGGCATGGTGGCGCATGCCTGTAGTCCCAGCTACTGGGGGGCTGAGGCAGGAGGATTGATTGAGCCCAAGAGTTTGAGGTTGCTGTGAGCGAGGCTGACGCCACGGCACTCACTCTAGCCTGGGCAATTAAGCGAGACTCGGTCTCAAAAAAAAAAAAAAAAGAGTGTTACCTCGCACCTTTAATTTCCGGAAGAGAACCCGTAACCAAGGGAACAAGGTATAATCCCACCCAAAATGGCCGCCAGCGTCTCAGGCGTCCGCGGCGCGGGCGTCCCCGGAAATGGCGTCACATGCGGCTTCCGGTTCCGTGGGATCCTCCCGTTCCGGCGCAGGGGCCAATACGCGAAACCGCGGAGTGCACGTGCATTCTCCTGGTTGAGTTTGTGGACTGAACTAGCGATGGACGCTTTGGATCGAGTTGTGTAAGTGCACTGGGAACGTTCAGGAGAGATGCTCCTATGATGGGAGTTATGTCGTCTCTGCCTCTTTGTCTCGCTGGTTATCCCTCTTCTTTCTAACACCCTTTGCCAGTCGTAGCGGGTGGGGGCCAGTCGATTCACTCCAGCCCGAGTCTTCCTCCGCTCGTGCACCCTGCTGGGAAACTGACAGCGGGGAAGCCCTTAAGTGGGAGCCTCGGGGTGGGAGGTGGTACAGAGGTGTTGGGCCGCTTTTATCCTAGTCAGTTGAAAACGCCTGGCTTCTGAAATGTGAGCGAAATGACAGAGTGAGGGGTTATGAGCACAGTCCTGAGAATCTTACAGATCTGGGTGGCAATCGGGCGCGTCCACTTAAAGCTTAGTGACTTTGGGCCATTTAATCTTCCTAACTCACAGTTTACCATCATAGAGACAGTTCACAGCTGTGAGGGTTAGTTTCGAGAAGCCTTTGCTGCACCACGTAGCTTTTTCTTTTCCTTCTGACTTTGCACTTCTCTGAGTTAACCTTAAGTGATATATATTTTAAATGTGTTAAAAAATGTTTATTGTGCTAAATAACCCTGCTGTTATTTGGTATGGTTTTCTTGCAATTTTCTCACCTTAACGTGTATCCAAAAACGACAGTTTCTTTTTAGTTATTAATTCAGAGATTTTGCGCACCTGCTATATACTTTTAGGTGTTGCGACTCAAAGAAGACTAAAACTAGTTTACTGTAATTGGGGGCCATACAGCTAATAGAACACGTAAGTTGCTGTTTAAGTTCGTTGCTGGTTAATGAGAAGTAACAAACCACATAGAATATAGAGCACATAAGACTTATTGTCTTATAGACACACTACGTATCTCTTGATTTGATTTAATAAATAATTTGTATCTTTATCAACCAGTAAGTGATTAGGAGCTTTATATGTGACATTTTACCTAGAGAATTTTTTTACACCTCTCCCCAAATTGTCTGCATGGAGGAGAATTTTAAAAATCTACTTGGGAAACTAAAGTGTATGTATATTTTGTTTTTCTCCTTCCCAAAGTGCCCAAAGGACCAGAAGAAAGAAGGTCATAATTATTTAAATGAGGAGGAATTGTTTCAGTAGATGGCAGAGAACTGTTTGAAAAGCAAGATGCTCACTGTAGAGGAAGCCCTTTTTCTGAACAGAAATGTATAAAAACATGCTACTCATGTCACATCATAAAGGCAGAAATGTGAATTTATTTTTTCTTCATATTTTACATGGTGATATGTCTAGATGAGTTTGTTTTTGGTTTTTTTAAGACAAGGTCTTGCTTTGTCACCCCCGCTAGAGTGCTGTGGCATCATCATAGCTCACCACTGCAACCTCCAACTACTGGGCTCAAGCAATCCTGTTGCTTCAGCCTCCAGAGTAGCTGGGACCATGCCCAGACAATGTCTCTGGGTTTTTTTTGTAGAGATGGAGTCTTGCTCTTGCTCAGGCTGGTCTCAAATTCCTGGCCTAAAGTAATCCTTCCCCAAAGTGCTAGGATTACAGCTGTGAGCCACTGTGCTCCTCCAAAATGAGTTTTTATATCTAGCACATTTTGAAGAGTGGCTTACTAGCTATGTAATCTTGGGCATATTACCTCAGTTGCCTCATCTATGAAGTGAAGATAATTGTACCTTTCTCATAGGCTTGTGATGAAGATTGAACCACAATAGAGTGACTCTATAAAAGCAACAACCATTTTTATTATTTCCCTTGGTGACAATAATGTTGACTTTCTCAGCAGTGATGTTGAAGTGGGACAGAATATGCTTCCTGGCAGGCATTGTGACTTTAAACCTAGAGGAAAAATAAGCAGCAGTTAGTCTCCATATGTTTAGTAAATGCTCACAGATTGATCCGTAATTCTTTGTGTTAGGGTGCCAGGTACAGTTTGCTTAAGTTTGAAGAAAAACTAGTGGACTAAAAATAGCAACAGTATCTACTTTAGTCCTTTATATTTTAATTTTAAAAAGATTTGGAAAACAGTAATAAAAGAGTTCTAGAAATATCAAAAGCTTTTTTAATTTTAATTCTTATTTATTTATTTTAGAGACAGGGTCTTGCTCTGCTGCACAGGCTAGAGTCCAATCTCAAACTTCTGGCAAGTAATCCTCCTGCCCCAGCCTCCTGAGTAGCTGGGACTACAGGTGCCTGCCACCATGCCTGCCTATAAAAAGCTTTTTTTAAAAAAGAAAAGCTAATAAAATACCTGTTTAACAGTAATAAGGGAATATGCTTTACTAATATCTCCTTAAAAAGTGAGATTTTGTTTAATGATGGAATCCTGACTGATATTAAGTATGGTAATGTTATATCTCTGTTATTTTTAACAATTGGCACATTAGTTTCATATTTGCAATATGAGAAAAATGTTTAAATTGTTATGAATTGTGCTTTTCTGAATAGAAAGCCCAAAACTAAAAGAGCCAAGAGATTCCTTGAGAAGAGAGAACCAAAACTCAGTGAAAATATTAAAAATGCCATGCTGATTAAAGGAGGAAATGCAAATGCAACAGTGACACAAGTACTTAGAGATGTGGTATGTATATATACTTTTAAAATGTTTTTGAAATTATTTTAGAACTTTTCAGCATACTATGTTGGGCTGCTGGAGAAATACGTAGGTAGGTTTGCTTTGCCTTATGAACTGCTAGCTTTAGAGAGAGCTAAGGTACTGACTACTAGTTTTTTTTAAAAGCAACTAGTTCCCTTAGTGAATTTAAACTGTTTTTTTTTTTTTTTTTGAGACAGAGTCTCACTTTGTTGCTAGAGTGCTGTGGCGTCAGCTTAGCTCACAGCAACCTCAAATTCCTGGGCTCAAGCAATCCTACTGCCTCAGCCTCCCAAGTAGCTGGGACTACAGGCACGTGCTACCATGCCTGGCTAATTATATATATATATAATATATTTTTTTTTTAGTTGGCCAATTAATTCTATTATAGTAGAGATGGGGTCTTCCTCTTGCTCAGGCTAGTTTCGAACTCCTGACCTTGAGCAATCCTCCCGCCTCAGCCTCCCAGAGTGCTAGGATTACAGGCGTGAGCCAATGCGCCCAGCCTAAACTGTTTTTAATTGCTAGAATTTGGTTTACTCACATTTTAGGAAATATCTGATTTGTAAAGTGAAATGACTAATACTGCTATATATTTATCATTTGACATTACTCGTTACTCTGTTAGGTACTGGGAATTATAGATAGGCACAGTTCTCCTTCAGTGAGTTTAGTAATAGAGATGGACATGTAAACAATTGTAGCATTGTGAATTAAGTGTTGTGTCGGAGGCATGTACAGGATAGGATGGGAAACAGTATTAATATCACATAGGGGGTGGGGACGGTGGCCACACCTGTAATCCTAGCACTCTGGGAGGCCAAGGTGGGAGGATCATCTTGAACTCAGGAGTTCGAGACTAGCCTGAGCAAGAACAAGGCCCTGTCTCTACTAAAAATAGAAAAATTAGCCCTTGTAGTGGTATATGCCTGTAGTCCCCAGGTACTTAGGAGGCTGAGACAGGAGGATCACTTGAGCCCAGGAGTTTGAGGTTGCTGTGCAGCTAGCATGGCACTTTAGGCCAGGCAACAGAGAGAGACTCTGTCTCAAAAATTTAGAAAATGCCAATAGGGGAACCACACACAGAGTGGGCTTCCAGAAATAACACTTAAGCTTCATTTTGAAGGAGGGGTTGGGTCAAGAGAAGGAGAGAGAGAAGGACTCCAAGACTGAGAAAGAGGCATGTGCAAAGGGAGTGTGAAGGTGCATGATGCATTTAGAGAATTGCAAAATTGAGGAGGGCCACAGAGAGTGGGCTGGGTGAGGCTAAAAGAAAGAGGCAGGGATCATGTAGTAACATGGCATTTGAGTTTTATTCTAACACTCTGTGTAGTCATTGAAGTAGTGAGAGATTGATCAGTTCTTTTATTGGCTTGATTAGAGAGGTTTCAGAGCAAATGCAGGAGACTAATAAAGCCATTGCTATCAGCCAGGTAAAGACGTCTGGAGTCTAGTGGTAGCAGTGAAAATGAGAGATGCTCAGAAAGAGTAGATGTTGAGGGTAGAAGAGTTTGGAAGTAGAGAGAAGTACACTCCCAGGTTTCTGGTTTGAGTGCCTTATCAGCAATAATGCTAATTAGAGAATAATCAGGTGGAGCAGGTTGGAGGGAAAGGTGAGATGTTCAGTTTGGGATATGTAATTTAAGTAATAAAGGCAAAAACTCAGGTTTTTCGTACTTCTATAGCTGGTGTCCAGCCCAGTGTCTGGACGTATAATATGCTCATAAATGCTTTATTAGTGAATGAAAGGCATAGTATGTGAGAGATACCTATTAGGTAGTTGGATATTTAGACCTTGAGTACAGCAGATAGATTCTTTAGTTAAGTCAACTAAGCAATGTATACATTTTTAATGTTGACTAAACTCCAGTGCTTGATAAACATAGTTATATCTGAATACTTATCTGTGCCATCCATTTTTGAAATTTGGTCTGAATGTCATTGTGTTGATAGGACGTTGCCCTTTCCTTCAGTATCCGTCACACAGTGACCCGACATATTTAAGTAAGCTTTAAAAGCAATATGGTTTTTTTTTTTTTTTTTTTTGAGACAGAGTCTAGCTCTCTTGCCTAGGACTGAGTGAGTGCCTGGCGTCAGCCTAGCTCACAGCAACCTCAAACTCCTGGGCTTAAGCGATCTCCCTGTCTCAGCCCCGAAGCCTGGGACTACAGCACGAGCCACCATGCCCGGCTAATTTTTATATATATTATCTTAGTTGGCCAATATAGTTTCTTTCTATTTTTTTATAGTAGAAGACGGGGGTCTCGCTCAGGCTGGTTTGAACTCGCTTGAGCAATCCGCCCGCCTCGCCTCCAGATGGCTAGATTACAAGCTGAGCACCGCGCCCAGCCCAGCAATATGTTTACTGAGTATTATACTAGTTACCAATTCATAATGATAACTTTGAGTTGTCCAGAAAAGATGGCAGTGTTCATTACACTGAGACAGGTAAACATTTGGCAAAATCATCAAAAGTTTGCACTTATAAAAGAATAGATTGTTACTGGTGAATATTCTTTCTTACCAGCTCTGATAGTTGATGAATGATCATTTCACTTTTTTTCATTGTTCCCTTATGCACCCACTTCTCTAATGCAAGCAGTGCCTTAGATTTTGGTACTGCGTGTATGGTAGAGCAGTACCGGCCATACAAGTAATAAGTGATTATTAGAATGGAGTGTAAGAAGTAGGAAAAAATGAAGAGGTTGAAGAACAGGATTTATAAGAGCATGGACTAGGTAGAGTTTAAAGAAATGAAGGGACTGATTTAATTGGCTAGACTGTTGAAAGGCATAGAACCTTTAATTAGGAAATCCAGTCTAAGTAGAATATTAAGCTTAATTATAGGTTATTGTAAGTGATCAAAAAGGGAGCCAAGCAGAAGACATTGAACATGATTCAGGGACCAGAGTGATCTCGTAGAATGATATTATAATGCTTCATT